CAGACTATTTGAGAAACTTTGTTTTGAAGAGTATGTAGGGCAAATACCAGACAGATCCACCCTCACTTTTTTGGTCACGGAATAAGAATTTCAAGGAAGATCTTACTTTCAGTGAGTTCCTCCTGGAGATGGCCTTATTAATTTCCATCACAGCCATGAGTTGGTGCTCACAACCGCTGGTGTCTCTTTTTTCTCTTCACCATGAAGAAAAATAGACTATTCCGTGTTTTGTTTATCTGTTTTGAGACAGCATCTCTGTGTCACATAGGCTAGCTGAGACCTCACTATATAGCCAAGGCTGGCCTTCAACTCATGATTCTTCTGATTCGGCCCCCCTAAAACTGGGATCATAGGTGTGCACCACCATGCTTGGCTTCCAAAGATGTTTCAAATAAAAGAATTTCACCCTGTGTCATTAAGAGTCTGAATGAGAATATGTGTGAAATTGTAGAATATGTAGTAATGGTAAATTAATATTTGTATTACTAAATTTCCTTTCAGGCTTCATACAAGGGCATCTTTTCTATAGGTAGCAGCACAGACTCTGTGTGTGTGTGTGTGTGTGTGTGTGTGTGTGTGTGTGTAGAGAGAGAGAGAGAGAGAGATGGGACATTAAATTACAGTCAGCAATGGTGAGAACATAATAACTGGGTAGAGGCCTAGGGTAGACAGCTGTGGGATAGGACAAGCTTGACATGGCAAGGACCCCTCTCCATGCTCTTGTTCACACCAGAGTTCCAGGGGAGGGGAGAAATCACACACCGTCATGCAGCATTTACAGCCACAGGGTCCGTGAACTCTGAGCACTTGTCTCGTTTAATGTGTGACTGTCGAGGGTCTAAGCCCTAGTGAAGTTGACACAGGGGGCCTTTGTGTGACGAGAGCCCCTCTTTGGCCGGTGCTCTGGCCTGAGGAGAATATAGCATGCTTGCTGTGAGACGCTGCATGAGGAGACAGAGGTGAATTTGACAGGGGAGCTTGCTCGCCAGGGCAATAATGCATCCAGAGGCCTAAGCTCCAATTTGGGTCCTACTGGCTTTTTTTACCCCCTGGTTAAACAACGTAAGAATTAGATTTCCAGGCCAGCCCCAGAAAAGTTCATGGATGGGGCTGGAGAGATGATGATCTGCGTTCAGTTCCCAGAGACCATGTCGAGGAGCTCAGAATCACCTGTAACTTTAGCTTCAGGGGGACCCAAAGCCTCTGGCCTCCATAGGCTCCTGCATTCTCATGGACATACCACATACAGGCCCACACACATACACATAATTAAAAATAAATTTTAAAAGTTTTGAAAAATGTTGTTGATTAACCTTAATATAGGAAATATTATAATATAATAAAAATAAATTAAAAAATAAATAAATAAATAAATAAATAGAATTTGTTGATTAACATTAATGTGGTTGATATATTGTGCACCCCAATAAACTTATCTGGGGGTCAGAGAACAGAACAACCATGATATTAAACATAGAGGTTAGGCAGTGGTTGCACACATCTTTAATCCTAGCATTCCAGAGGCAGAGATCCGTCTGAATCTCTGTTAAGTTCAAAACCACACTGGAAACAGCCAGGCATGGTGACTCATGCCTTTAATCTCAGGAAGTGATGGCAGGAAGCAGAAAAGTATATAAGGTGTGAGGACTAGGAACTAGAAGCATTTGTCTGGTTAAGCTTTCAGGCTTTTGAGCAGCAGTGCAGCTGAGATTCACATTGGGATGAGGACACAGAAGCTTGCAGTCTGAGGAAACAGGATCAGCTGAGGAATTGGCGAGGTGAGGTAGCTGTGGCTTGTTCTGCTTCTCTGATCTTCCAACATTCACCCCAATAACTGGCTTCAGGTTTGTTTTTATTAATAAGACCATTTAAGATTCATGCTACACATTAATATAGGAAATGTATTCTCTGTCAGCTCCCCCATTGTTTGTGTATGTATGGTGTGTATTGGTTAACACTGATCATGGGGAGTTTGTGCCTGCCTGGGAAATCAAACTGTAATTTGTGATGTTTCCAGGATCTAACTAATAATTTTGACAAGAACTTTCCAAACATAGCAGAGTTTTAAACTGGGGACACAGCCCGTTTCACTTAGAGAGCATGGGAGGCCACTGTGGCCCTTGTGGAATGCTGTAGAAATGCTCCAAGCATCACCCAGGCCTGGCATTTCTTGGAGAATGAGTGGTTGAAGTAGCTGCGATCCATATCAGGGCCAGCTATATAGAGCGCTTGGAATGTTTCCAGGCACTTCATGCTTTTCACAGAGGAGAGGAGCATGTGGTAGGAGCATGCGTCCTCTGGTGAACAGTCTTCCTCTCTGCCTTCGCCAGGCTATATTAGGCTCCATTGCAGATTCAGTAGGTGTTGTCGAATTTCTACAGGCATCAGGAAAAAAATGGGCTTTTTGAACCAACCCGAGCAGCGCTTTGCACATTAAGACAAGGAGGAAGGGAGGGAAAGAAGTAGAAGGCAGAGGTAAGGGAGGAAGCGAGGGTGAGCCTGACACTGAAGACCAAAAGAGACATGCGCTGTGCAATGCTTCACTAAGGGAGCAGCAGAGAGAGCCGTGGAATGGGACACAGGGAGGTGTGTCGCCTCACACTGTATGGACATGCGGATCTGCGGGTCCCCTCCTAAGAAACGCAGCATTCACGCTTAAGAAGGTTGTTTAAGAAGTGTTGATGAAAAGCATGTATTAAAGTGTCCTTTTGGATGGACGCCATTTCAATACGTTCCAGCTTTCTGAAGGTAACGTGAAGGAGCTGCTTGCTTCCAAGGGGAGGCTGAGGCAAGCCATTTCTCTGGAGGATGTGACCAAAGTGTGTTTGAAATTCGCTACTTTGAAGACTTGCAAAAGTAGCATAGCTTCCCCCCCCACCCCACCCCCCCACACTCCCACTGCCACCCCCAAGCCAGGATGCCCCTGCTACATAGTTTCTATGCTCGAGCCTCAAGGACTGGAGGGCTGGAGGGCATGCTCCTTTATGATGGTAATGCAGGCACCAAAGTAAGACAATTCACAATGCGATATCATTACCAATAATCTTCCGTTGCTACTCCTGTCTCGCCAGCTAATCATGCTTTCTATGAAGGATAAGTCCAGCTCCTCAGATACATGTTACCCCCCTGTCTCTTTATCTCTTTCACTCAGAATAGTTGTTCCCTTGGCTCTTGTAACTTTGACGCTTTGACTACTGCATATGGATTTCATGCAAATATCCCTTAGTTTGGATTTGTCTGATACTCCCTCCCGACTAGATGTAGGTCATGTGTCTCAGGCAGGAGCGCCACAGAGGTGCTGCGGTGCCCTCGATATGTCTGAGAAGGTGGGGAGTGATTCCGTGTGACCCCGTTCCTTACGGGGATATTCATTTTGACCATGCAGTTAAGGTCTGTTTCATTGCGAAGTTACTACTTCCCTTTGGTGTCTGTAAGAATTGGAGGTGGAGGTGCTTGGGAACTGCACATTTCACATTTCTAATTAACTTTTCACCCACTGGCTCCCTGTCTGCAGATGCTCTGGATTGAAATACTTATTTCTCTATTGGTAACTGAATAATTGTTTTTAAAGTTTTATCCTTTCTTCAATTGAGGGTAGGAGTTTCACTGTGAGGAATAGCTCTCTTTTCCATTTTATTGTCCTCATTCATCCTGGCATGGGCTTGCATTCCTGTTTTACTCAATGACTCCAGCGCATTATTATCATGGTTATAGTCCATTGTTATCTTAATCTGTCAATGTCATTGTTTATTTTGATAAATGGTCAATGATTTTGATCCATAGGTAGGTATCCTTTTGAGCTGTATTTTTACACAGCTCCACTGTGAGTCTTTGGGTGACGCTCTGGTGAGCGTAGTAGATTAGGGGTTCTTCACAGAGTCTGAAGACCTGTGTTGTAGACTCCTAGGCTTCCTTTATTTCTAGTTGAATCTCCTTGAGGGAGTGGCCCTTCTGCTCTACAGCTTAAAATAGAGGTAATTAGTGCCTGCAGCCATCTGGAGCGGTTGTTGTGAAATTCAGCCTAAAGGGGGAAATTATAATATATCTAACTCTAATTCCTAGAAACTTCTAGAATCGTTGCATGCGCCGATGTTTCATAATGGCCTTGTCAGTTGAGGAGATACCCTGTAGATCACCTGTCTACTTACCTCGTTGGTAGCCTGAGTTTATTTCCATCCGGTATGTGTGTTATTGACTGGCTCCTTCGTGTCTTGGTGTCTGGTGCCATGAACATGCTTTCTGCAGAGGTGCTCTTGACTGGGGGATGCTGAGCTCAACATAGCAGAGTCATTTCCCGGGAGGGTGAACCCCCAGTCCCTCTGGCCCCGGAATGATGTCTGCTTTATCTTTCCTGCCTTGCAAAGCCCATCCTCAGCTGACTCGGAGCCTTACAGACAGACGGAGGGAGGTATGGGTAGGCACAGGCCTCCAAGCCATGTCAAGGGAGTTGTGCAGAGGCAAGAATTCAGTCAGGAATGTCCCTGTGGCTTTTCCCAGGTGCAAGTGGCAGGTAGAGGTAAGACAGACATGCAAAGTCAAATTCTTTTGCAATCTGGCTTCCCCAGCTTGGTTGCCAAGCCTTAAAGGAGTCTGTGGCTGGAGTGCCTGGTCTAGCGTCTCCTGCGACCACCCCATCTTCACTCTCCCACAGCCAAAACCTTGGTTCGGTTTTGTTTTCACGGTCCCATTCTTGCCCACCTCTCACCTCACCTGCTTCATGTTTTCCCCCAGTCCTTCCAACCCAAGAACTGAGAGGTAAGCTTGAAATTAGTAACATGGGAATTAAAACCATCAAAGGGAAGCATGGAGTGAATCTTACTGATGAGGAAAAAAGGAGTATTTCCTTAGAAAGTAACCCAGGGTTAACTTTTCCTAGACTTCTGTGATGATTATTGAAACACTTGCAGAAAAAAAAATCCAACAGTTTATTCACACGCAACCATATTCAGGAACAATATTTCTAAAAAGAACTATGAATGTGTTAAAAATAAAAGGTGGTATTTGGTGTAAGTATGCATCTGAGGTGTCTAAAGTTTCGTAGAGGGCTGGTCAGTTGGCTCAGCAAGTGAAAATGTCTGTCACCAAGCCTGATGACATGATTTCAATCCCCAGAACCCACACCCACGCTGTAGATGGAGAGAACTGACTTCCAGAAGTTGTCCTTTGACCTCTACACACATACAGTAAGTTGATGCAATTTTTTTGTTTTGTTTTGTTTTTTTGTTTTTCAGGACAGCGTTTCTCTGTGTAGCCCTGGCTGTCCTGGGACTAGCTCTGTACACCAGGCTGGCCTTGAACTCACAGAGCTCCATCTTCCTGTGCCTCTTGAGTGCTGGGATTAAAGGCACATACCACCACACTGCCCGGCCATAAATTTTTTTAGAAAATTGGTAAAATGACATGGAGCCAGGCTTGGCGGTACATGTCTACTCAGGCTGAAGCAGTTGGAGTCTCATCTGGACTACACAAATAAATTCAAAGTCAGACTTGGCTCTGTAATGAAACTCAAAATAAAATGGAATACATAAAATAAAAGGGAGTGAGGTGTAGGTTCCTCCGCTCAGTCTTTCAAGGGCTTACCATGAACGTAGCTACACTTGTGCAGTAAGCCCATATTCCAGAGGGCAAAACTAAAGAGGCTGAATACTAGAGTTCTGCAGAGAAGCAGAAAGCCCTGTGCCGAACTGTAGGTGTGGGCCTAGCTGGTCCCCCGTAAAAATAAACACTTATCAAAACAAAAACAAAAAATGAAAAAAACAAAATGAAACAAAACAAAAATAAAACAAAGGACCTTCTGGCTCTTGTACACATGTTGAAACCCTAGCCGAGGACGGCAGACCCCAGGATCTCTCTCCACCCTGGGGTCTGAGGCTAGTGCACTTCCCTGGGCTTGGATTCCAGATGTGATTTATTTAGAACATTACTGTCTGCATAGGCCATAATCAAGGACTCAGCCTCTCTCATGGCTGGTGTCTCCTGTGAGAGGAAGCAGGCCAGTCAGGTTTTGTGAGCTGGCATTCTCCCCGCTTGAAGCATAATGGAGGCCCTGCCCTGGGGACCAGATAGAGAGAAAGGCGGACTTCCTTCCCAGTCCATTAGTGCATCGGTCAGTAGCCTCTACCTTTAAGATTTCCATCCAAGAGAGGAACAGTGGAGAGAAGGTGGGTGTTACTTTTCCATGGTTACTATAAGCAATGACTACAGTCTGGGCGGCTCAGCCCTACAGAACTTTATTCTCAAATAGTTCCATAATCTAGAAGTCAAGTTGTCAGAAGGGTCACGGGTTCTCTCCAAAGGCTGTCACAGAGAACCTTCTTTTGATTCTTTGTGCTCTGATGGCCCAAAGGGTCTCCCGGTTTCACGATGGAATCATGCCAGCCTCACCTCTGTCTTCACTTCCTGTCTTGTAAGGCCACTTGTCACTGAGTGTAGGCTGTGTCTAGTGACCCAGGATGATCTCATGGAGATTGCCTTATTTAATTATATACGCAAGTACCCTTTTCCAAATAAAAGTCTACCTGTATGTACTTGAACATGTCTTCTGAGAGGCCACCATTTAATCCACTACTGGTGATGGGCCCATTGGCCTTCCCTGAGTTCTAGGGGCCCCGGGTGATAGCGGTTAGAGGGGACCCCCATTGACAGTGTCAGCAAGAGAAGAAGAGGTTTCAAGATATAGGGAGAGTCCACATGACCCTGCTGACTTTTGCTCATCCTAGAATCTGTGACTCTGCAGGTTAGTGAGGGCCGCTCTGAACACCCACATCTCTCTTCTTCCCAGGGAAGAAGATGTATTAGTAAGTCGGGTTTGGTTCTGCTGCAGTAATAAGTAAGTTTCCAAATCCCAGGATTCATAACACTGAGACGACCTTTTTGCCTGGGGCCCTACAGGTTGACTACAGCCCTGATCTAATTTCCCTGCACTGTTCTGCCTGGCTGATGGAGAGATGGATCTGGGGTAGGGCCAACCTCGAGGCAGCAAGAAGGGCTCTCTCTTAGGTTTCTATGGACGTGAAAACACCATGATCGGAAGCAACTTGGGAAGGAAAGGGTTTATTTCACTCTACAATTGACCATCTCTCACAGAGGGAAGTCGGGGCAGGAAGCTGGAGGAGCTGATGCAGAGGCCATGGAGGAGTGCTGCTTACTGGCTTGCTCCTCATGGCTTGCTCAGTTTGCTTTTTTTATACACCTCAGGGCTGCTGTCCAGGGTTGGTACCACCCACAGTGGGCTGGGCTCTCCCACATCAATCATCAATCAAGAAAATGTCCCACAGGCCAAGCTGACGGGGGCATTTTGTCAACTGAGGCTTCTTCTTCTCAGAGGACTCTAGCTTGAGCCAAGTTGACGAAACTACCCAACCAGCACCAGCTCTCAATAAATCCTTCCCAGGTGCTGTGGGCAGAGCTCACCTACCTGCTGAGGTACTGTCTGGCTCCTCTCCTGCTTCTTCTCCCAGGTATCTTAGGCAAGTTTCAAGTCCTGTGCTGTCTGCATGTTCTGGCCATACCCCTGGCTTTCTCCTTGCACTTTCTAGGCCCCCCATGTTCCCTATTCCCCCTCTCCCAGGAAAGAAAACAACTGAATTATATAGCTTCATGCTGCCACCCTGCAGAACTGCTTTTGGGGAGTGCTGCTTTCCAAACAGAGCCTTAACTGGCCGTCTGTGAATCAGTCATTTCCACAGCGTCTGTGGGAAGAACACTTGGCTTCTTCATCGACTCACAGAGGCTGTGCCGAGTAGTCAAGGCCTCTCAGTTGCTTGAAGCCAATGAAGCAGGAGGGGGTCTGGAGAGAGGCAAGTTCAGTTTCTTTGGCTCTAGGGGTCCACAACAAAGGACCCCGTGAAGTCCCTACATGGTGAGGACAATGACATCAGTTTTGTGGCCAGCACATTCGTACTTTCTGGAGCCAGGAACCATAGCTTATGTTGGAATCCCAAAGGCTTTATGAGCCCAGGAAGATTAAGGATCAAGATGTCTAATCTAATCTCTTCATTTAACTGTTGATACCAGAACTGAGGTACAGATGGTTCCTTGTGCCAAACAGACTGACCTTATTTAATAGAACTCCATCCAAAGCTTTCCCCTGAACTTTGCTTTCTTTCAGTGAGCTAATTTCTCTACTATTACAATCTACTCTGGGAGAGAGGAGGATGCTTGGGAAAGTTACATTGCCTTTTAAAGCCACAGGGGTATCGTTTGGTGCATTCCTGCCCAAGCAATTATTACCTTCTGAGAGCCTGCCGAGCTGCCTCCTGCCTTCCCTTTGGTCTCCGTGGGGACTCATTATGTTTCCAGCAGGCAAGTATGAAATCGTACAGTGCTGGCTTACCAGAAGGCTTTGCTACGGGAATTTCACAGACAGGACTGCTTCTGTCTTAAAGGAATTTACATCCCACGTAGCAGACTAGGGAATGATTGAGGCAGATCATGATGATAGGGCTCCATTAATATTAAATGATGCCTGCTAGGCAGAGAACCAATGGATTCCAATAGCACAGATCTATTTATCACCCCCTCCCCAGGAAGCTTGGTTGGGGGACAGTGTGGTATTTTCTCTTTACAGATTAGGAAAATACAGGCTCAGCAGTTTGTTGTTCTCCAGAGCAGGAATTCTTAGCAAGATCCCCGATTGAAGATGACTGGGGATTCCTGAAGCGATCTGCTAAGGCAGGTAAATAATTGATTTGTTCGTGGGTGCAGGGCGGGTGTGATTTTCCTTACAGTCTGCAGAATTCTGTGCCTGCTGATGATTCAGAACCACTATGGCGGAGAGCCTCCTCTTGTACACTAGTTAGTAAGTATTATGGTTTGGATATAAATCCCTCTTCTGCAGTGGCTTATGTGTGGAAACCTTGGTACCCAGCTTGGTGGGCCTAGTCATTTGAAAATTATTGGATCCTGAGGCCTTTAACCAAACTGACGGATTATCCTTGATGGATTCATACTATGATAGAATTATTGGGAGATACAACCCCGTTGGAGGAAGCATATACTGTCTCCCTAACCCTTCCTGCTTCCTAAGGGCCATCACGTGAGTAGTCTTTCCTCCGCTGTGCCTCTCAGCCATGATACCTCTGCCATGCCGTACCCTTAAAGCAATGTGGTCAGCTGACTACGGTCTGAAATCTCTGAATCTGTGAGCCAAACACAAAACAGAACAACCTATCGAAAACAAGACAGAAAGTGTCCTCCTTCTAAATGGCTTCTGCAGGCGTTTTTATCACAGTGTTGGAAAGGCTAACACAGGAAGTGGGCCCCATGGATGTCCAAGCCTACATGTTGATGTGTTTTCTCTGGTTGCCAACCTTTCTAATAGTGGACAAAATTGGACCTAAGAACAATTTTTGGATTTTTGGAGGAGACACGTTTACATATTTCCCTTTCCTAACTTAATTCTGGACAGTTGGAAGTCTGGCTTCATCTCAAATACCTGCCACATCCAGTGGAGTTACTGTAATGCAGAGTGGGAAGAAGCCTCTAAAATCTTCAGGCTGCGCAGACAGAGAAACTGAGGCTCAGAGAGTGCCTCGTGTCCAGATAAGAAGTCAGTGACCGAGTCGGGCACCATGCTTATTCCTTTTTAAGGACTCGACTTCCAACCACAGTTGGAACCCCTTGCCAATATTTCTCAACAAATGACAGTACAATGTGACTCATTTTTTGACATTATGCAAATGAAGGAAACAAGACTGAGTGCCCTTCTGTCCAGAGAGCAGGAAATGAAGGCTGTCTGGGGCCGCATGTTCCCAGGGACATACAGTGTCACAAGGGGGTGGGGGTGGGGGTCCTGGAAGAACCAGGCCTTTGTTCACTTCTGTCTTCCCTCAGCTCCCCTTCTCAGCCATGGCTAGCAGGATTGGCACCAAACCCACACTCCCAGCGTCAACCAGAGAATCTTATGAGGACACTTAGGTTGTGTTCTCTGTGGACCTGCCAGCAGAGACTCCTTCCCTTTCAACTGCCCGCCCCCCTCCGCAGCCCAGCCCAAGGCAGCATTTTGCACTCTCTCTGGAAGAGATGTTTCTAACCAATTGGTCCCTCCCTCCTATGGAAAGCAGAGCCATTTGCCACAATGGACCTTATATTTTTGGTCAGAGAAGGGCTGAGTGGATGCTGTTAAAGTTTATTGGGTTTTCTTTTTTAGCTCCCCCCCCACCCCCACCCCCACTTACAGGATGACTTCATCCTGGCTGGAGTGCCCTCAACCCCGGAGGTTCCTGTGAGGGACAGTCTTTGTGCTAGCCTCATGAAGCAGGGGTCAGTTATGGAAACTCTCCCAGCCCTGGCTTCTTTCAATTAGGCATTAACAGTATTTCATCGGAGTGACTTGTGGTGGGAACAGCCCAGAAATGGAGGAGTTTATATGGAGGACGGTGCTTTCCAGAGAGTAGGCAAGACGGGAGAGCTTCTCCAGAGCATTAGACACATGAGGAAACGGTGACCCAGGGAGGAGGAAAGGTCATGAGGTCACAGAGCCAGGTGGCTGCAACCGGACTACAAAGACTGGAACCTGGGCTTCAGAGCTGAGCTGGCACATCCTGGGTTGTACATCTGTCTTTCAAGATGTCTTCATACTCCTGATGTACACCATAAGGTTGTTTTTAAATTGTACTATTGGTTAATGTAGAGATTCCCCCTCCCCCTCGAGGGGGGGCGGTGTTAAAGACTGAGAGCTGGAGAGATAGATAGCCCAGTGCTTAAGAGCTTATTCTGCACCGGGTGGTGGTGGCGCACGCCTTTAATCCCAGCACTCGGGAGGGAGAGGCAGGAGGATCTCTGTGAGTTCGAGGCCAGCCTGGGCTACAGAATGAGTTTCTGGAGAGGCGTAAAGCTACACAGAGAAACCCTGTCTCAAAAAAAAAAAAAAAGAGCTCATACTGCTCCTGCAGAGGACCTGAGGTCGGTTCCTAGCACCCACAGAGGCAGCTCATAACCATCTGTACGTGACCCCAGCTCCAGGGGAGCTGATGCTTTGGCCTGGGACACCTGTACCCATATGTACACACAATACATATACATATGCATAATTTAAAATAAAAAATATTTTTAAGGACCAAAGGATAAAAGATGTTGACTAACTTCTCAGGGGCTTTTGAACACACTCTCCCGGTGGTGGGGTGGGGTGAGGGGAAAGCCCCCTGCCTTCCCTTCTCATCGGAGTCTTTACTCTCCTTCGGCTTGAGTCCACTGGACCCAGGCCAGCCTGGCACCCGGGGCTTCTGCTGGGGGTTGGCTGTACCAGGCTGTCCATGCCCAAGGGTCCACTGCTGCTCTTGGGGAACCAAGTTCTCTTAATCACCTGCCACCAGAGACTTTCAAGCCTTCCCTCGCCCCTCCCTTCCCGGCTCCAGCCTGGGTGTTGTGCAAGAGCCAGAGGAATTTGTGATAATGGAGCCACATGCCCAGGCCCAACCCAGGCCCAAGGAACTTGACCTGAAGCAGGAGGCTAAGCAAGAACGTTCCTAGCTCCCAGGCCAGAAGGGTGGCCGGCCGGCAGCCACAAGGAAACTCCCAGTCCTTCTGAACGCTGCCAAGGAGAGGAGGCTTGCATTCTTATTTATAGCCTTGCGCTTGCCGAGGGGGAGAGCTCGATCTTTCTTGAGTTTGGCACATGATTCATTTCCCCCCGGGAGCTGCGGGCCGAGGCAGGGCGTGCGCTCTGGCAGCCTCCGGCCAGCCGCACACTCCGGTCTGCTCGTTTATTTATGGTGCTTTATCAGGGGCTGTGCACCGCGGCGATAAAGTTTATGAAAAGAGGCGGCGTCTCCGGCGGCGGGCTGGGCCCCGGCGCTCCTTTCCCACACTGATTAGGATCAGCCGGGGCTTTGGAAGCGGCAGTTAAGGATCAGGGTGCTGGGAGCTGGCTCTCCTTCCTGCCGCGCCCAGCCTGGCCGGCTGCTGGCCCGCGTGGGTGGGAGGTCCGCGCTTGACCCGGCACGGGGCGGGCGCAGGGCAGCTTTGGAAATCCAATGCCCAGATCCCAGCTGAAGACGTGGAACCGGGCTCAGGCGCCATTTCTCCTCTGAATGTGGCAGCTCTCTGATCCCGTGGGTTTACTTTTCCACCTACCGGATTCTTTTCCTGAGTATTTACTCTCCTGATGCGTTTGGGCCCATCCCTTCCGAAGACTCGAGTCCCTACTGTGAGAACGCCTTTAATCGCTTGCAGAGATAAATTCAGGATTACTAGCTCCGGTCTGGCCCCTCCCGGAGTCACAGAGAGTGGATTACGGGGTAACCACAGCCTAGGGTTATAAGGCCCCAAAGCAGGCACGGAGGCTGACGAAAGCCTGATTCTCACTGACTTGCTTAATCTATGGTGACCTCAGGGAGGTACCATTTCTAGCCAGAACATTTCACCGAGTGATATAAGATGACTCAGAAAGGCAGTGGCTGAACTTCAGTTGGACCTTAGAGGCAGGGGGTGGGGATGTGGCTCAGTGGTAGGCAGAGTCCTGGCCCAGGGCTTGATCCCCCAGTACTACACACACAAACAGTAGCAGCGCCCACTCACATAACTTCTGAATTTCCCAACCTCTCTAGCACCGAGAATGCAGTGGCCAGGACCGCCATCCTGCCTGGGAAGGTCACTGAGGTGCCATGGTCTTCAAAAGGGGGTCATGTCTTCGCTGTCGGTGTGACTGGTTTTGAGTCACCTACCAGATAAGACGGCTGTGACTTGTGGGGAAAGGATGTTTTCAGGAAAACAATTTAGGAAGACTCACCCTGAACGTGAGCATCATCCTCTGGACTGGGAGCCAGCACTGAATTAGAAGGAAGAAACAAGTTAAGCTAATCATTACTGTTCCTCTTTTCTCTGCTTCCTGACTGAGATGCAAGGTGGCCGGCTGCCTCGCACACCTGAGGCATGTCTGTCTTGCTGTGATGATATTCCTTCAGACCACAAGGCGAAATGAACCCTTGCTTCCTTCATAGTTTTTATTGTTGTTATTGGTGTGTGTGTGTGTGTGTGTGTGTGTGTGTGTGTGTGTGTGTGTGTGTTTGGTTTTTGGTATTTCATCACAGCAAGCAGAAATATAGCTAACACCAGCAGACGTTCACTAGACCGTGGTGGGAAGGTTGGAGTTTCACACAGAATTGGCTCTCAGGGCAAGCTGCTTTCACCTTCCACTTCTCCAAGGAGTGGGAGGGCAGGAGGGCAGAGGCCCTGAATTCTGTGACAGTGGGGTTGCCTTCATAGCCTACTTCCTTGATCTGGACCGTTCTGCTCACAGCTACAGAAATCCCACCCCCTCAACCATCTAATAACAACCCAATCTCCCCCTCCTATCCTTCCCAGACCCACTCCTTATCTCCCTGACTGAGAACAAAATCAGTCCTTCCTTTTGCCTCCCTCATCCCAAACCTGCCTCTTTGCCTGAGAGCCCTGCGGGGTTGGGCTCCACCTGCCTGTGTTACTAGACTGCCCTGGTACATAGCAGTCCTTCTCCTCACACTTGCTTTTGCCCTAGACCTGGTTTGCTGTTCTGCCCACAGGAGGTGCTTGGTAACCGTGGTTGGTGAATACGTAGGGGCCTGTGTGGTGGGGGGGACTTCGGATCTCACAGGTATCTTATTTATTATCCCTTCGTGAACTTCACAACCAGGCAGGCTCAAAATGGACATTTGTGTCCCCACCAGGGAAGGCCTGGATCACTCTGCCAAGAGGACACAAAGACCAGAACGGACCTAGCAACCAGGCTGGCTGAGGCGAAGTAACCCAAGCTGCTAGCCCTTAAAATCCCTCCAGACATGAAGCAGGATTAGTCGCAGGGCCCGGACCTAGCGACGAGTCAACAAACGGAAGTCGTGTTGCCCTAGTTATGGGGGAGAGTGTTGTGAGGGCTTCCAGCCAGGCCCGGCATTTCGCAATCCACCTTGCATGCACTGAAGCATTCCATGGAGCCAGGGCATGCTGGACATTTGACTCTACCGGGCATGGCATCAGCAATAGGCACTTTCCAGGCCCACTGCTAAGGGGGTTAGGGTTGTGTTTTGTTCTTTGTTTTGATTTTTTTTTAAAGTAGATTTTTTAGAAGATTAACTGGGAAAGTAATATATAAATATACTTTTAAAAGTAGAAGGAGTGGCTAGAGAGCTTAGAGCATTGCTCTCTCAGAGGACTGGGGAATCAATTCCCAGCACCTACATCATAGCTCATAATTGTCTCTGACTCCATTTCCAGGGCATCTTGATACCTTCTTTTGGCCTCTGTGGGTATCAGGCATGAACAAGGTGCACAGACATACAGACAGACAAAAGAATCATAAAATAGTCAGTTTTGATTTAATAGGAGTCAAGCCCTAAATAAAATAACAATAATTCTAGCACTTGGGAGGCAAGGGCAGGCCTCTGTGGTCTCTGTGAGTTCAAGGACAGCTTGGTTGGTCTACATAGCAAGTTCTGGGTCAACCAGGGCTACAGAGTGAGACCCTGCCTAAAAACAAACAAACAAACAAACAAACACAGAGCCAAAGAGGTATACAAAGAAAATTCTATACCCAATCATATACAGTTTAACTAATCATCTCCCTCCAAGGTACAGCCATCACTGAGAACTTTTTCAGAGCTGGGGATGTCAGTTTGTAGAGTGTTTTCCTAACAGGAATGAAGTCCTGGGTTCAATTTCCAGGTCCATGTAAAACCAAGCATAGTGATACACACCTGTCACACTAGCACTCAGGAGACAGAGGCAGAAGGATTGGAAGTTCAAGGTCATCCGCAGCTACGTAATGAGTTTGAGGCAAGTGAAGGCCATGTGATATACCCCTTCCCATCTCTCTCTCAAATAATAATTTCTTTTTTGAAAGATCTGATATGCATATACATATATATGTATACACAATATCTTGTGTTTTTATGACAATCTCAAAAGGTTAAGAAGTTTGTAGGCAATGTTTACAGGATGATCACTGGTATTCTGGAAACAAGGATTATGGTACATTGGTTTTGAAAATCGTAGAACTGGTCTTGCATAGACTGAATGATGCTAAGTATTAAGGCTGTCTGGATCACTGTGCTCTGAACCTCTCCTGTACTACCTAGACAAGGCGGCGTGAAGCAAGGACAGTTGAAGCAAGATCCAAGGAGTCCCGGTTGGCCACAACGTGGAGAGATACTGGTAAGCCATTTAGTAAGGACCAACAGGCTGTCGGGATGGCTCACAGGAAGATAACTGATGCCGATCCAGCAACTACTTGGTGGGTAGATGCTCACTGAAGTATTTATAAATGTTCTGTGGTTACTCTGCTATGTCACACGGTTGGGGGAGAAGGAGTCATGGCGATGAGTAGGAGAAGCGAAATGTCCTCACGCGCTGAGAAAGTAGAAAAAAGCTGCTTCTTTGTGGAGCCGCTGTGCAACTGGCATCATTCAGTCCAGAGAAGGGAAGGATACAAAGAGGCATGGCAAAGTCAGTTCAGTTCACTTGGGTTCTCAAGGACCAGTGTCCTTCTAGAGGATACTGTCCCCCACGGTCTTCCTAGAGCAAGGGCTGGCTAGGCCCAGGAGTTTCCCGAGTATCCCCAGGGGCCTGCTCCTATGGGGGCTGTCCAGCCGTTTGGGACTCTGTCTTTTTCCCTCCTGGGTGATGGTCCAGTATCAGAGCTCCCCGCTCTACCCACCCCCCCCCCCACCCCCCCCCGCCATGCTGTGTTTCACACAAGACCTCACTAAGCAGTCTTTCCAGTTTTTTCCTATGGTCTCTTGCTCCCCAGGGGGACTCAGAAGACCAAAGGATACTCAGACCAGTTGCTCTTTCCCCCCCCCCCAGCATCTAAGACTGTCTTCCTGGATTAACTAGGGCTCTGTCTCCTGTCCCACAGCACAGGCTACTTCCCAGGAGACGCGGGCCTCACGCACAGCTGTCAGACATGCTCAGACATGTCAGAACCCAGCTCAAGTTCAGCCTAGGCTCTCGATTTGCCCTAATAATAACCAGCAAGTGTTCAGATATTTTGACAAAAGAGTCTAATGAATTATTCTATAATGGGAGGCTCTGGGTGCAGACTATTACAGGGAAGGATTTCAGCCAGTAA